AGTTTGGTGACTTTTGTCATATATGTAAGCTAAGAGTCATACATACCAGAAGCACATGCCAAAATGATATTAGAGAAGTACAAGAACTTTTTTTATAGAAAACATCTCAGATGAAATGAAGAAACAGCAGAAATAGGCAAGAAAAGCCTTTGAACCATGATATGGGACTTACATCTATGAAAGGAAAAGGGAAGGAAAGAGTGGGTACGAAATGCCTTAAAATGACTGAAATGAGGCTACAAGAAAGTGTCAGTCAGACCAATGGGGAGTCTTAGAAAAAAGGTTTCCTCTTAGAGGAGTCCCAAACTGAGCATAAATGGTAATCTCTATTCCCTCCACCATGTTCAGTAATTGGTTGGGAGCAACTTGAGGAGGGTGGTGATGGTGTTGATGCTGCAGTGTATTCCAGGGGTGTGGTCACTGAACACTGCCATCCAGCTACGGTTCTCTAAGATTTTCTCTGAGGGGTATCTGAGTGATACAAGGTCATGGCTACCCAGCATCTGATAAGTCACTTTGATGAAATTACTTTAATAAATGTAATAAATAAATGAATGAAGTCACGCAAGTACCTTCTCAAATATGAATCACTTTTTACAAATTAGAATGATGCTCCCCTTGTTACTTTGATTGCATATGACATGTTCACCATTCCTTGGACATTTGTACTTTCATTGGTTGCATGATGAACGTTTCAAGGCATGCCTTGAAAAAAATATATATATAGATATAGTATATATCTGTATCTGTATATCTATATCTATATAATATGCTTTTTCTTTCTAGTCTCAAGATATCAGCCTTGTCTACACCCGAATTCAGGAAAATCTGTAAAACAGTGGTGGGAATAAGAGAAAAGACAGATAGTTGGAATAATGATATTCATCATCTTTGTTCCCTTTCTTCTCTAGTCATCTGAGTTCTCTGCAGGATTGTTCTCATGGAACTATGTGAAGGAAGGTTTATCCCCTGTCCATGGTTCAGAACTAGGCTATAGCTGTTTCCTTATCCCCAGGAATCTGGTGATTGCTTTCCAACCACTACAAGGATTACTGAACCTTGTCAGGAAAGAGGTGATGTTGAGAGAAGTGAGAAAAAAACAGAGATAGAGAAAAAAGGAGAGAGATTGTTGAAGGTGAAAACACTGAGAGATTACCAAATAAAAAAAGAAAAGGTTCTTTTTAGACCTCATTTTCAAATAGGTAGAATTGAAAGAAAAATTATATACATATATAATATTTACTGTGATTTCCAAGGTTGTTCAGTTATTATTATGTACAGATAATTTGATGAATGTAAAC